CTCCAATACCACCACCCCGACCTGTCCCTACTAATACATTCGGAAACTCCTTAAAGCTAGAATTTTTTTTTTAAATCAAGGATCCAGGGCTTGGTACCTGAGAGATACAATAGATGTAACAGAGAAAGGAGAGAGAGAATGCGAAGATTAGCTGACGACACGGCTGCTTCACAGAATTGTTACAGAAAGAAAATATTTATGAAAATGTTTTGTACTGTGCCTTAGGCATAGTTTGTTCATAATAAATGTTTGCTGAATCTGAATGTGACCAGTTCTCTAGAAATGTTAAAAAGGAGAACACTGCTCTCTAATCATCTTTAAACATCTCCATACATGAAACAAGAGCTTTCTGGTCATGACCCCTGCTCTTGTTGCCAAAGGATCTAATGTGGGCTCCACCTTCTTTCCCCCATACCTTCCTCATGAACGCAGGAATCATGTTCACTCATAGAAGTGTTTTCCCACCCTATTTTCCAAAGCACCCAGCATCGAACTTGTGCCTTTTGAACTTCTTCATCTATAACCACTGCCTCTTTTTCATTTTGAAGAAAAAGTTCCTGCAGAACTTTCTAATAGATAATCTATACTACATAACATGACATTTAATTGTTTTTAAAATAAGGTTCTTTGCACTCACATTTTTATAAACTATAAAATGTCTTATTTATACTTCCCTATCTCCTGTCTCCATCTTCTCCTTGAGTTTGCCAACTACATATTCTGCTTATTCACAGAATCCTATGACCATGATTGTAAAACATACTAAAGGAAAAACTACCACGAGTTTCTCAGAGGATTTATAAGAAAACTTGAAGGAATAAAAGTATGCTTTTTTGAGGGGGTGGCGAACAGGAGGGATTGTAGTTAGAGGTGAAAGATGCAGAAAGACAGAGCGAAAATACTTTAGGAACAAAGGCAGATGGGGAGTGGTGGGTAGACAGGCCCTGGAGGACAGTGGGACTCACAGACCCTAAGAGCATCAGTGACGATAGGAGTGTAGAACTCTGGGAGTTGATGGGGCTTCAAAAGCAAAAGAGAAAAGTATCTGGCACGCAAATTGTCCTGAAATATAGGAACACAGGATGCTCTTCTTAGACATGGCTATCACCGATGTTGGCGCCGGATCGTACATATGCACTTGATGAACTGGGAGATCGGGAAGAGAAAGTAACTGCCTCCCACCACATGTTAGCAGACTACTCACGTCTAAATGGCATATCTGCTATCAATGTGGGAGGATTCATTTGTGGGGTTCATTAGACAACAGGTGGGCACAAGCTGTCAAGGGACCAGTGAATTTCAAAGTCCCAACTCCTTCGTGTGGTGTGTGAGGCACTTGGTCCCGGCCCCTGTGCACCTCCTCCGGCCTTTCTCACTCTCTTTCCTCTGAATGTGAACTCTAGGACCCAAACACACCGAATGTTTTCCACAACTTCCCTGCAGCACTTTCATGCTACTATCTTGTGCTTAACCCTGTCTTTCTTCTTTGAGTCTTTAGAATACCTTCCATGGTAAATTAGTACAGACATTATGGAAAACAGTGAGATGATTTGTTTAAAAAATTGACAGTACAGCTACTATATAATCCAGCGATCTCACTACTGGGTATACATCCAAAGGGAAAGAAAGAAATACATCCAAGAGACATGTGCTCGCCCATGATCATTCACTATGCACAAGAGCAAGAAAATGCAAACAGCCTAAGTGTCCATCGGATGATGAATTTATAAACAAAATGTCATTCATAAGCATAGTGGAATACTATTCAGCAATGAAAAGAGTGAAACCTTGACACTTGCAGTAATACGGAGGGAACTGGAGGTCATTATGCTAAGTGATGTAAGCACAAAACGATAAGTACTGTTTGAGCTCACTCATACATGGAATCTAAAAAAGTTAGCCTCATAAAGGTTGAAAGCAGAGTGATAGTTACTATAGGACCGGACACTGGGAGAGGTTGGGAAATGGGGAAAGACTGACTCATGGGTACTAAGTCACAGTCACACAGGGACAAGAAACTCCGGCGTTCTGCTGCATGGTGGGTGTGGTCACTACAGATAACAGTTACGTGCAGTCCATTTCAAAAAGCTCTATCCAAGGATTTTGAAAGTTTTCATCACAAGAAATAATACATTTCAGGGAATAAGTATGCTTACACTCATTTAAATATTATTCAGCATCTGTATCTAACACACGCTGCCTCATCAATATGTACAACTTTTATGTATTTGGATATCAGTTAAAATGTATTAAAAATGTCCCAACATGAACCTTCTCTCTTACCCACATGAAAGAGCTCTCCTTTGCCAGCCAACCGTCCCCTGCTGGGGCAGACCTGCCTACTTCGTCCTCACTTCCCACCCCTGTTGTCCGATAGATTCATGGGTCCTTGTCACCCGTACAAGCTCTCTTTTTTTACCATTGACTGTTAGACTTTTGATTAGCAGGGCATGCTGTGTGAAAAGGCCCACTCAATGATTCCTCGGTGGTCAACATGGCACCAAGTTGACATTCAAAGGTAATTTCTCAATGAATGAATTACATCATCAGTAAATACTTTTGACTCACACGTGCCAAACACTGTTGTTATGCCTGGGATAAGTCCGTGAACAAAATGACAGGCTTTCTGCCCACTTTGAGTTTGTACGTATGTGTCTAAGGGCTGGGGAGGACAGCCAACCATGAATGTAATAATACCGAGAGGTGGGTCACTTTGTGTGTGAACTTACTATCCTGGCCGGTGTGGGGGGGGCCGTGCTTAGTAAATTGGTAGAGCATAGATCCTGAGCAGGTGTGTTTCGTCAAAACATACATTTTGCTTTTTAGTGTATGCTTGTGATCCGTAATGAATACATTCATGCTAAGGAGTTGGTACAGGTACAGATCACATCTTAACCTTTTTCACTTCCCTTTCCCCTCCCCTTTATCCCCACATCCCTTTCCCATCTGCAAAAGGTCTGCCCCATGGTGCCTGTCCATCTGTCTTTTAGGGAGCAGGTGTGTTTTCTCCTGCTCCAGTTGCTGACATCAGACACCAGGTTCTTCGGCTTTTGAACCTGGATGTGGACCTGCAGCCCTGGGCTATGGCGAAGCTTGTGGTCCAGCCTTCTGCCTGAGCCTGGGGCTGCCTCTTCTGTCTCTCTATGGTTCTGAGGACTCCAGCTTCTGCTGCTGAGCGGCTGCCGACTCTCGGTTTTTCAGCTTGCAGAGTCATCATGGAGCTTCAGCTCTGGCAACTGGGTGCACAAGTCATATAAATCTCCTCTTATGTAAAAATCTATATTCTTATACTTCTGTTTCTTTGGCAAACCCTGATACAAACAGCGTGTCTCATGAGGGGCATTGTGGCTGAGTATTTTCTTGCAGTGCACAGAGAGGTAAGGGTAGTTATTGTTGGAATTGTGATATATAGACAAAGTACTGAAGAAAATAAAGGATGTAACCAGGTTGCTGTCTGATAGAAAAAGATTGTAATTTTTTAAAGTTTGAATACGATATGTCTGGGTATAATTTGGGGGGCATTGGGTTGGCTTGGTGTTCTTCATGCTCTGTAGGCATCTAGTATATTATCTGATGTTTATTTGGAGGAAATCATCAGTCATTACTTGTTCATCTATTATTTCTGTCTTTGTCCCTGCTCTACCATGAAATCCCAGTTATCACACACTATACCTTTTATGCACCACAATTCTTGGATATTCTGTTCCTCTTTATTTTTTTTGCATTCTCTAAAATTTGATTTTGATTCTTTCTCAGCATTTTTTATTACATTGTCTACCTGTTTGTGAAAGTTTTCAACTTTTTCTGTTAATGCCTTTAGTATACTAAACACAGTGTTTTAAAATTCTCATTCTGACAATTCCACCATTTCTACCTTACCTGATGCCTCTTCTGAAGCTTGTTCCTTGTCTTTAAACTCTGAGTTCTGTTTTGTTTTGCTTTAGTCTCCTTTTTAAGATCTGGATATGCTACACCAGATTAAAGAGATACCAGTATGCAGGCTTTAGCAGGGCGGTGGTGACATGTGGGTGGAATGGAAGTGCTCTGTCATCCTACAGTGAGGTTTCAGTCCCTCCCTGGGTGAGCCTGTGAACTGCATGGTGCTTCTCAGCTTTCCCTCTACCCTTCTCTTCAGTGGAACAGGACAGCAAGGGCTTGCAGGAGTTGTGTACTCCCCTTCCCTCAGGTAGGCTGCGCTATGGTGAAACTCCATAAGGCTAAGTTTTGGAAAGACAGTTCCATCAGATGTCAGGCCTTATTAAAAAGGACAGGATAGGGCTGGGGATTTAGCTCAGTGGATCCACCACCTGCCTCGCAAGCGCAAGGTCCCAAGTTCGATCCCCGGTACAAAACAAAAAAAAAAGACAGGATAGGCTGGAGGGGGTACATGCCTATAATCCCAGCCACTTGGGAAGCTGAGGTAGGAGAGTCACAAGTTCAAGGTCAGCCTGGGTAATTTAGCAAGACTGTGTCAAAATAACAGAGAAAGGACTGAAGATGCAGCTCAGTGGTGAAGGACTTAGCTAGCATGCAAAAAGCCCTAGATTCAATCCCAGCAAAACACACACACACACACACACACACACACACACACTCACTGCAAGATGCTCTGATATTTTTCAAAATGATTACATTTCTCAGACTCTGCTCCTCTCAAGCTAGAGGGATCTTCCTTTTGTATTCATTCTCAAGACATGGTAGAACCTCCAGACAGTATAACTCACAAAAATATGCCCACCCCTCTGACTGGGCAGCCTGGAGTTTTTCACTCAGACTTGAGACTTATGCACACTGACTCCCCAGGAATTTGCCAGTTAGAATGGAGGTTTTCTTACATGGTGCTGACTCCTAGAGAGCTCTGTGCACTGATCATTCGTGAGTCTCCATTTCACCTCTTGTCAGGGCAGCAGTTTGTCCTACTGACCTTACTTCCCTGACAGAGCTAAGAAGAGTTATAGATTTTTTTCAATGTATCTTTTTACCTCCTATAAAATGAAGTGCAGACTTCTAAGATCTTCACATGTAGAGCCAGCAGCCTGAAGCTTTGTTTCCAGCTTAATCCTGTGGTCGTCTACTGCTTACTGAATACTGGAGACATTTTCAAATTCAAGCTATCTTCAAAGACCAGCTTTCTAACTGTAGAGAAATAAAATGTACGAGCCTAGATCTCATTTTCCAAAATTAATAGCGAACTTTACACTACCCCAGGAATAGTGACTGAAATTGTAATTTGAAAGCAAGTAGGGAAGAATAGTCACAGGTATGTGTGTGTGTGTGTGGGGGTGGGTTTAGGTGAACACCTTCCCTAAAAAATTTCAATAATAAAAATGTGACTGTTACGATTTAAATCTAAAATGTCCTCCCAGGGTGTGACGCGGAAGGATGTGTTCCTGTCCCCTCTTCCCTGCTCTGGGATGAGCGGCTTTCCTTGAGCCCAGGCCTATCACCATACCCCCTGCCATCCTGGTACTTCTGCCTCGGCGACTGCTAAGGATGGATTAAGACCGCAGCCCAAATAAACCTAGTTTCCTATACATCGTGAGTATCAGGTATCCAGTCCCAGTGATGGAAAGTGACTAAGACAAGGATCTTAGCTCAAGCTAAGGCTGGCAAAGCAGGGAATGTGACAAATGAAAAGAACAGCCTGTGATGAAGTAAGAAGGGGTCCTCTCTAAGAAATGTACATGTTCTCCCCGATGCACTGGTTCGTCTCAGTTTCTGTAACTTTGTGGTATTGCCAGGAAACATGATGATCAATGGAATCTGCTCAGGCTTTGTTAATACATGGAATCTCATTCTCACCTCTTTTCTCATTCCAGCAAGGGAGAGAAAATTTATCAGTGAATTATTAATTTCACTAATAACATGAAATGAATATAACTCACCCTTCTTAGGCTAAGGAGAAGTTGCCATCTAATTAAAAGAGAAATTGCTGCTACCATTTTAAAAGAAGTGTAGGCAGCCACTTATTAGGAGAAATCAAAAGTTCAGACCAAAAGGAGATCACTGGAAGTACAGTGGCCTTTCTGAGGTGTTTTTATATTAAAGGGACTTGGCTGTGCAGTCCCACTGAGTTTTGCTTTCTCTAGAGAAGCCTGGCAGGAAATAGGTATTGAGGCAGAAGGCAGTGAAGAAACAACAAGAAGAGCATAACAACACCGTAACATATTTCCTCTGTTCACTCCTTACCTTCCAGCATAGAAGTACTGAAAAAAGATATCCTTACCTGAACTTTCTGGAAAACTTTATCATTAGCAGCTAAAAAAGCACGATAATAGCATCGGTTTTTAACATCTTTTTAAGCTGCTCAACTTTTGCTTCTAATTGATAGAAGCTAACTTTAAATATTTCCACAAAGCAAAGAAAACGTATGAAAGAGATACTGGGCCCTCTTGCTGATGCCAATAAGAGGCAAAGGTGTAGAACCAGAGTCTGGAAAGCCATACAGGCCCGTGGGGGCAATACTCTTGCTCCATACTTAACCTATATTTTATTCCTGATCTCTTAGCCAAACACAGCTTCCCCAAGTCCCCCAAATTTAAATTTCTTCCATTTAAGCAAACAGATCAGACTGAGTTACACCTCAGTCCTAATGCTTAACATGTGAGTAAGAAATCTAATTGGACTACACTAAGACTATATGCACCTTGATCCACCTATAAGTGGCAGTGCCAGCTGTCAGAGGAACAGGCCTAGGACAGTCTGATCACATGTTCACAAAAATACCCTGAGCTTTGGCCTGAGATGCTATTTCTTTCCCTAGAACTCTCTACCCTGTCAATATGCTGTAATTCTAGGAAACATCACGTAATATACATCAGGAACACAATGGTAAGTGGGATGCAAATTAATCCAACAGCACTCCATGGTAACCAGTTTATGATCTTCCCCCATATATTTGTTGTGCTTCTTTGATTTCTCTTTGGCTGTCTTTTTTATTTTCCCCAAGAAGCAGATGTGCCGGCTGAAAATGAGGTTTGATATAGCATTGTCTTTAGTTCATCTCCAGATGTGGCCAATTTAACAGCTCAGTCCTAGGATGGCAAACAAATGCTTTCCAGGGAGAAATCAAATGATGACATTTAAGTCTTAATTGCAACTTAGAATAATATCCTTTTTAATGTTTGATTCAAATAAATTGGCTTTCATGGTTCTGCAAGTTTAACTTAAAAGAGCTGTTGAGCTTAAAAAACATAATTCATTTCTATAGCTTTCCTTAAAAGTAAAAGAAATGTATCTTTTGCAAAACCTTTTTTATATTCAAGAACCATGACTACTTATTCAGTTCTAACACAGTTTGTATCTCATCTCCCCCATACCTACTGATGTGCAAAAGTCTAATAAGGAACATGGAAATCCTGCAAACACCTGTTATCCTATATCCCCCACAACTATGCTGAATGTGTGAAAGTAGCATATTTTTCTCTGCCAGACCTGGACCTGAAATTCTGCCCTCAAAGCATAATTCCTTTGTTTTAAAGAGAGTTTACAGCAGTCAGTTACCTGCTAACATACAATTACAACTAGAAGGGACAATAAGAGTAATTCAACACACGTTAAAAGTTTGCAAATCCTTGCTAGGAGACTTGTTTCAAGCAAAATACGAGGACTAAAGAGGTGAAGAATTCCCAGTGGCAGAAAGTGGGCAAGCAAGCAGCAGCTAAATAGGCATCTGGCAGAGCCACTAAAGGTAAATATTCAGACACTGAATGATGTATTAAATAAAATGATTATGAGATCATCCCACATGTGGAATTGTATCTTTTGATTATTTCTTTAATCATCCATCCACCTACCATATAATCAGGGGTGCTCCCCAGGAATCAGAGACCATGATCCCAGGAGACTGTAACCAAAGCTCCCATGATCAGCCATTCATGTTTTCTTTCCTCTATAAACCATAACTTGGGATAAGAGATGAACTTTCCAATCAGTCATTTTCCAATCTAATCCAAATAATAAACAAAACAATGGCTATTACATATCTTCTTTTTAAAATTAATTCTATTGGCACATTTTGGGTATACAATATAGTGCATTCATCATTGGAAATTTGTACCTTTACATAATCTCTCTTGGTTCTTATTTATTAAATATCTTCTGATCAATTCATTCAATACCACTTAATGAAGATTCTTGGGGAAAGCATATGTGGATTGAATATCTACATTACAGAAAACATGTATGAGAGAATGTACAATGATCAGAATAAAAAATATAGGAAATTCTACAAAAATTTTTCAACAAATACAAAAAAAGTGAGAGACTGAAGAAAAATCAGTAGAGTAAGAAACATAAAAGGAACAATTAATTGCATTTGATAGTACTTAGTTTTATTTTATTTTGAACAATTTGTGGAAAAACATGCATATAGAGGAAAACTCAATCAACTGAGAAAAACTGAATTATTTTGTAATTATTCTTTATATCTGCTAGGGACACTGCTAATATTTGTAGTTATTTTTAAATAATCTATTTTTAGAGATCTATGTTGGTATGGTTATAGGTAATATGACATAATAAGATTTAAAAGTACTCAGGCAGGGGTATACATATGAAACAAGACTGGTCATAAGTTGTCTTTAAATCTACAAGGTTTTTCTCTTTTTTCTTTACCCAAAGTAAATACTGATAGTATGAGATTGTTACTGGTAGAATTCTCCTTTGAAATCCCCTGGCTCAGGTACTTATTAAGGAGGCATAGGAGTGTATGTCCTAAGGGTATACCCTTGAGCTCAGATACACTTCTATTCTATTTGGTCCTGCTACTTCTAGACAGTAGACCTTAGATAAGTGCCTGAAACTCACTAAGCTTCAGTTCAGTGAGAAAAAGGAAGCATAATAGGAACTCTAAAATGAAGAGGATAATGCCTGAAATTCAGTATTGCCATCAAGATTAAACAAGATAACTATCCATTTAGTTTCTTATAATTACTACATTCTTACCTGATATCATCAGACATTCATTCATGATGCTCCCCTGTCTAAATTTATCCATTTTATCCCATTAATTCCTATTGATCCTTCATATGTCTATACAATCATCGTTTTTTGAGGAAACCTATTCCTTTTCCTTCTAGCCAGGTTGAATTCCTTTAATCCATGTTTTATAAGTCATACACCTGTACTTTGTAGCACTGGTCACAACTGCAAGTTCATATCCATAAATTAGTTTGTGAATCGCATATGTATTCTCTCTACTGTAAGCTCCGTGGCATCAAGGAAAGTGTCTGCACTGAGCATGTAGTTCTCCCTAGCAGGTAGAAGCTTACTTGGCACAAGGTGCATATTCAATAGATACTTGAAAAGAATAAATAAATAGGCAAGTGAACACACCATGAAGCGCAGCATCTGACTCACAGCCAACAATCAAAAAATGCTGGTCTTTACTATTATCTCTACCATTATTACTTTTCCTATTTAAGATTCCTATAGTAGAAAGAATTTGATGAGGCTAAGAAAAACACAGAGTATGTTGGTCTCAAAATCCAGGCTTTCCTGGTCAGAAATTGAGGTAGAAAAGATTGGGAGAGGCAGGTAGTGCATTCTTCATCTTACTACCTGTTATAGTTTATGTCTAGATGTCTCCCAACAGCCTCATGAGCTCATGAACCAGGTTTTTAGAAGGAATCGGGCTTACATCTGACTTGCTGATAAAAGGTGGGGTCTTGGCTTTCTGCTTCCTTGCCACTGTGGCATGAACAGCTCTGCTGTGCTCTGCCTTTCTACCACACCACTTCTGCCCTGGAGCTAGCAGACTATGGATAGAAACCTACAAACTATGAGCCAAAAATAAACCTCTCCTTCCTAAAGATGGCCTTGGGTATTGTGTCCCAGAGATGAGGAAAGAAACTAAGACCGATTTTGATGCCAGAGAGATAGGACTGTTGCTGCGGTGCTGCCTGACCATGTGGCTCAGAAGCCTTTGGAGCTGGTTTTCAGGAGGAGGTGGGAAGGTTTGGAAATGCGGGCTGGAGAAGCCCTAGAACACTGTAACTGCAATCATACCTCTCTGCTATGCAGTCCTAACTTGCAGCCAGCTATCTAAACCAAAATAAACCTCTCCTCCTTCGCGGGTATAGAATATTTTGTCTGAGTGTTGAAGAAAGTGACTAAGGCAGTGTTCTTGGGCTGGGATGAGTGGTTCCCTCTGTTCCCAGTGAAGGTGTGAAGTAAATTCTAAATGTGGTGAGTTTAGTTAGGGAGGAGTCAGTGACATTTATTAGAAAATGCTGATCACAATGTTTGGCCTTTTGTTTATAAAGTCTTGAAGACATGTGAAACTAATGGGTTGATACACAATTCTATAGTTACTATTACTTCAACAAAGTTCATTCCCTACTTTGATAAAGAAGGAGTAAAAATAATGAATATGATTTTCCTAAGCTGCAAAGAGGCTGAAAATGATTCCCTCTTATCTGCTGAAATTTTGTTTTTAATTCTGCAAGTAACCAACGTAATGCAAATAGTTTCTCAAACATTCAAGTCAGTGGTTCTTAAATAAAGGGTTATATACATCTTTGAGACATTTTCTTTCTATTTCACAATATCAATTTTACATTTTGATCCTTATTTACACTTTCAGTTTCTCACACCAGAGAAGCTATTTGGTATTTACACACGTGTGTCCTATTTATTTCACTTAAGAGGATGGCTTTAATGTGCATCCACTTAAGAAGATATGGTTTTTTTTAAAAAATGAAATGGAGGACTATTTAGCCATAAAGAATGAGAAACTAGAGACATTTATACATCTTTGAGACTGCAAAGACAAATATGCAACTTTCTCAGAAAAAAATCCAATACAGGGCTGGGGATTTACCTCAGTGATTCCCACGCATGGTTCGCAAGTGCAAGGTCCCAAGTTCGATCCCCAGTACCAAAAAGACACACAAAAAAATCCATACAAACAGCAGGCTTCTGTAACAAACTTTGGGATGTTCATGGAGTCTTGAGAGCTTATATGGAGATTTTAGTGTAGAACAACTGTTGAGTAGTTGTATTGTGGGTGTGTGTACAATGTCAATTAAATCTAGCTTTTACAATGTGATTTCACATTTGCTGAGTCTACTGATTAATAGCGTTCACTGAAAGCAATAACAAGACCACAAAAAATACTTAAATTATAATTATTACATGATTTGGAGTAAACTGGTAATTTCTTTCCTTACAATAGATAAAACAAGCTGTACCTATATGCACCAATATAAGTTTCAAAAACATAGATCAAAAAGCATAGGGCTGGGGATTTAGCTCAGTGGTTTCACTGCCTGCTGTGCAAGCGCAAGGACCCGAGTTCAATCCCCGGTAACAAAACAAAAAACAAAACAAAAAGCATGATTTACAGGTAATGTTGTGCAATGTCATTTATAAAAACATCAAACAAAAATATATTTTATGGATATTTCAATATGTAGCAGAAAATAAAACATTTAAATGAATTATAAATACTGAAATTTAATATAGCAGTTACTGATGGTCATGGATGGAGAAAATAGAATAAGGGAAAACATAAGAGATCTTAAGTACAATGATTTGTTCATTAAAAAGTGTGAGAGAATTTGAGAAGATATGGCGCAGTATTACAAGTTGCCACTCCTGGGTGAAGAGTAAAAGGGATACATTATTTTATTCTCCCTCCTTGTTCATACACATACATCAAAATACAGTATTTTAAACATGAAAACACTTATCTCATAGGAACATCATGCAAAACAAATGAAAAGGTAATTTAAGTATTTTGGAAAATGCAAACGCCATGAGAAGGTGCACAGATATTTCCCCCATGAAAGGGCATTCATCTTATTTAAGTTCAACTCAACAATTACCTATTAATCCAAGCTAATATCCTTTTGGAGGCCAGGTCAGAATGAATGTAAGATAAGGGTCATAGGCTCCACAATCCTTGGAGCCTTACTATTTATTTGATCAACAGAGTCCAAGATGTTTCCCCTCAGGCCCATAGGGTTTCCAAGGAGCACCTTGGGGGATACAAATTGAGGTAAAGGAAATATCTAATCTGTCAGGCTTCTAGGCTCTAAAGTCAACCAGAATGGCATCCTTTCTGTGATATATAGTTTGTAAAAGGATTTTATTAGTGATATTGATCCAGTGCTAAAAATTTACTGAAAACTGTTGATTTTCAGAATTACTTTTCTGGAATTCAAGGATGGAAACTTCTTGCTTTTGCTGTGACCTTTCATTTCTTTTTTTTTTTTTCCTTAAATTCTTTTGTTGGTAACGTTTTAGGTATACAATACATTTACATTTATCATTGGGATCTTGTACCTGTACACGATGTATCGTGGTTCTTATTTTTTCCCCATTCCCTGTCCTCCCTTCACCCCCTCCTCCCTTCCCTATTTACAAAGACTTTGTTTCCATTTTTTCCTTTTCTCATCATTTTTCCTTTCCCTTCTTTCCTTTCCCCTTCCCCACCCACTTCCCCTACCCCTTTAGCCCTTTTCTTCCCATTTCAAACTTCTCATGCCTGCCCACTCCTGATTTTATTTTGGGGAACACTTCACACAATGGGTACCATCTGTTAAGACATCTGCTGGAGATTGGGATTATCCAGATTGAGAAAGTGAGCCATATTGAAGGTCACACTATGCAAATTTCAAACTGAGCCATTCCTGACATTATGACCTAAGGACATAACAGTGAGAACTTCTTATTTCCCAACTCCAGACAGACCATTTAAATAGTGACTCTGAAACTTCCAGAAGCCGTCTTGTCCATATGAGGGATCAGAGTTTTCCTCAGACACAGGGACCGACAAATGGAGCTAACATACAAGACAGCAGACTTGAAAAGTGGAAAGACTGGGGTACCGATGTCACTGGGGAGCCACTTGTGATGTGACTTTTCAGCCACAAGAAACAATGAATTATTTGTTTTAAATACACTAAGGAGTCTTGACTTTTACGCTTTTAATGGAAAGATGCCCAAAGGAAGCACTTCTAAGGGTCACCATACCCTCATTTACCCCAAGTGACAGGAAACAGAATGACACACGGGAGTCACTTCCTCGGACTGCCCTTCAGAAAGTTCTTCATATTTACCTACATTCTTCCTACTACACTCATGGCTGCTCTTCTGCCTTTTCGAGTCAGATGAAGTACGTCTTGTCCTTCCCATAGGGCCGCAGACATTCGAACATGACATTACATCCTCTTCATCACTCTGCCCAGTAGTA